AAAAACGCAGCAGCAGCAGAACTAAATGGGATCCTGGGGTATAATAAATGGGGATGTGAAGGGACGAGTGTGGTGGGTGAGATGGCATGGCTGGTGGGGGCTAGAGGGGTGCATGGAGGGACTTACCCCTTTTTCCACCCTGCTTGCAGGATGTTGTGGGAGAGATGGGTGGAGAGGTGGAGGAATGTGGTGAGCTGGAATGGGGAGGCATGGCATGAAGGGGAAAAGCATGCCCTTGGATCCGCTGCTGATGTGCCTGAATGCTCATGCTGACTGTGTTCTGTTGAATCTGTTGCTGATCACCTGCCTGGTTCTTGAACGCCCTTGTATCCGCTGCTGCACTGTGCACTTTCTTTGCTCTTGAAAAGAAGAATGATTTAGATTGTCATAGATTCGGTTCTAGGTCTGTAGCTTGTAGTTGTTGATGCTATATTTATATATATGCTGTTGATGTTCTCTCTGTGTTTTTGTTGCGACTGAGTGGTGCATGAAAGGGAGGAATGGCTGGAGGATGTATTCACGTGGTGAGGGTTGAAACAGTGGGCGGTGATTTGATGGTGCTGTCACTGACGGTCTGATTTCAAGGGAAACGCTCGTGCTGACTGTTGTCATCACTTCACCCCATTTTGATCCCTTTCCTTCCCTCTACATCCCCTCCTCATACCCCCCGCTTGGAATGATTTCATCAACGTGTCTCCTCTGCACTTATCATTAACTTCATGGTTGAGTGTTCTTGAACAATCTACCCACAATCCCTCTTGCCCCATCCTTTCCTGACATCTCTTGTCTGACTGAATTGCCACCACCTGGTGCCATTCCATCCATCCCTACATCCCTCCGTCCTTGCATTTCTTTGGAATCTGAACAAAACTTATGCATAGACCAACCCTGGGTTTCGTTTCTTCGTTTCGTACCATCATGTGCTGCTTGGTGAGCGTTTCATTCCAGTCTCATCACCTCCTGTTGTCATCGGGCTTTAAATTTGTCGTCAGAGTCTTATCAGCTCGATATGTTTTCACCATTCCTTATCAGCTCGTGATGCTTTCACCCTTTTTGCCTAATTTCTTTCGCTGTCTTATTCAGATATCATCAGCTCATCATTTTCGCAATATCTCATGCCATACAGAACAGCTCTTTATGCTTTCAGTGGTTTTTAGCTAGTCTCATTTGATGAGCTCATGGCATTCTGCGGTCCCTCTCTCCAAATTTCTTGGTTCCCTGCCGCCACCTCCCTCACCTCTCTGAAACTTCAACAGTAGTAATCGTTGAAGGAATCAATGAATATTGTATTATGTTTCCGTACTTGCATTTTTCTGTTCTTCTCTTTTCTTTTAGCATGCCAGTTTCACCAGCTCCTGATGCTTTCACGATTTTATGAAAATCCATGATCAGGTCATGCCATGTCATGATGCTTTAAGATTCTCATGCATTTCTTCTCAGCTCATCAATTCTTTACCCTAAATGGCATGTCCCCTTCACTGGCTCATCATCCGCTCCTTAGCTCCTTCCTGAGCCTCATGCCATTCACATCAGCTCAAGATGCTTTCAGTGGCTCGTGCTCGTTTGGTCTCAGCATGATGCGTGGTCTCAGCATGTGAGGGAGTGGTGCGTGGGAGGGAGGGACGGCCGGTGGCATGCCTTTGGCCAGAGGAAGGGTGAAGAAGGGGAAAGCAGTTCAGCAGAAGTGTGGAGAATTCTTATGCTCACTTGCTTCTCGTGGAGCCCTTCAAGTGCTGGTAATGAATCTCATCGCTGATGCCTTCTCGTTGACGACTTCTATTTTTATTGCCTAGAGCTTCAAGAGATTTTAGTGCTGCTTAGAAAAGCCTTTTTAGTCCGTACTGCCCTGTCGGGTCGGTGTTCGTAGTTTCGATGCCTCTCTCTCTGCCCTCTTCAAGTTTCAACACTCTTTCCACTCAGTGTTCACAACTTCCCTCCTTCCTTCCCGCTCAACTTCCTTTCCTTTCACTACCTATCAAGCTTCACCACTCTTCACCCCCTCATGATGGTCGATGTTCAAAATCCCCTCTTGAGGTCTAACAGCACTGATTTGAGAAAATTCAGGAGCTTGCCTAATTATCCAAGTGTCTCCCAATTCCCATCCCCTGCTTGCTTCCTCATACTTCTTCCCTAAGCATCTGACGATTGGCCATCAGTGAAGCTTTAAGATTTTTTTTTTAGTCTGTGTTGCCTTTCCAGACATGAGCTGCTGATATATTCCAATCAGTTCAATCAGCTCTGGTTTCAGTATATATTCCAAGTTCACCTGCTCATGATGCTTGCAGCATTTCATGGCAACTTTGCCAGCTGATGACGCATTCACTATCGCATTCTCTTTCAGCACCCCATGGCAGTCTCTGCAGCTGATGATGCCATCAGTATTGCATTGCGGTTCCATCAGCTCATGATTGTATCCTGACATTTACATTTGCTCTTCATGAGTCCAGCAACTCATGCCAAATTCATCAGTTCATGATGCTTGCTGGTTTCCGAATATCTGCCAACCAAGCTGACCTGCTCATGATCCTTACTGCATCTCGTGGCGAATTCTTCAGCAAAGAGTGCTATGACCACATGATGCCAACTTTATTGGCACATTCTGCTGTCAATCCTGCAGGAATCCCAGTTATTTAATCACAATTGACAACAACCGGATCATCATGAAGTATTTCACTTCTCTATTGAGAGATTGTGTTCCCACAACGTTTCTATATTGTAGAGCTTCACTGAAAACTAGAAACTGACCAGAAAACTAGTATTAATCTAAACAGTTGCAAGTTTTCAAGTTCATGTGAATCTTACAGTTGTGTTACGGTTAACAAATCTGCAAATATCGAATTGCTAGTTTACCCTTCATCCTCAACATCCTCGATAGCCTGGTTTGGGATGCCAGACCGATCCCTAGTTCCTCGGGAGCGGCTTACTACAAGCATGCGTGCGAGGCGCGTTTCCTAACAGCGCAATGCCTTCAGTCGCCTTTTGACGCATTACAAGCTCCGTCTCAGTCGCGTTTGCCCCCCGCCGCTATGCAGCAACATTTCCACTCTATTACCGATGACGGAACAGAATCATTCATTGAGCAGCCTTGGGTTTTGTTTCACACTGGCAAGTCCGTCAAGTTCACCCATCATCCAGTCAACGCACCAGCAGACCCCTTCTTTTCGTGGACGAACCGCTTCATGTTGCTTGGGCAGCCTGCGAGCTTAACGGAAAATGCGACCCATATATTTTTGGGCAGCTGCAGCTGAGCCTGCTGCCCAGAAACTCCGTGAATGTAGATTACCGAGCCGCAATACTGTCAACCGACAGCGCCAGGCTTCGTGGTTCGACTTGGGGCCAAAGACTCGGCCTTCTCCAATTGGCTGACCAGATGCCGAGCTTCAAGGTTCGGTTTGGAGCAGCGGACTCGGCCTCCTTTTATTGGCAAGCCAAATCTTCCGTGGTTCGGCCCCTAATACAGAGCAGAGCCAGAGCACTTTTCGGAGTGTTTTTTTGTCTTTCTCGATTCGGGCAGCAGGTTTGCTTCCTCCACAGCCTCGAGAGTTGCTTCTCTCCGTAGTCGAGCTCCATCCACTCTTCCCTCCGCCTTGAAACCTCCTCCCTTTCCAAACACTACAAAGCCCACCCGTCCTCTTCATTCCCACCACCACAGCAGTTGCAATTTCCTTACTCCTTCAACTCTCAGATTCAGCTACTAGCTTCTCGGAACTTCGATCAGCTTTCAGCTCCTAGGTTCGCCTCTCGTTCCGCCTGTGCTCTTGGCCTCTCGCTCCTGCGATGGCATCTCAGATCACCCCGTCTCCCGTTGGATCCGCTGCGGTGTGCGGCATCAGCAGCAGCTTCAACAGCACGCGCCGCGGTTCTAACGTCTTGAAGATGTGGCGGCGAGCGATTGCATGGCGGGTGGGGCGCTTCAGCGAGAAAGAGCTATGCGCTCTGCGCTCCCCCCGTGCGTCACTCGGCTTCTCCCCTCTGCGACCCAAGCCCGTGGCTAAGGCGCCCAGCAAGAAGCCCAGGCCCAGGGATGTGATAGGTACCGCTGCTGCTGTGAAGCCCAGAGTGGTGCACAGCGGTCAAGCGACCGTCGCAGCTGCAGCAGTCAAAGCCACGCCAGCTATGGCGACGCCAGCTAAGGTGACATCAGCCAGGGTGACGCCAGCCAGGGTGACGCCAGCTAAGGTGACATCAACCAGGGTGACATCAGCCAAGGCGGCGCGAGCTAAGGTGACGCCAGCTAAGGTGACGCCAGCTAAGGTGACATCAGCCAAGGTGACGCCAGCCAAGGTGACGCCAGCTAAGGTGACATCAACCAGGGTGACATCAGCCAAGGCGACGCCAGCTAAGGTGACGCCAGCTAAGGTGACGCTAGCTAAGGTGACGCCAGCTAAGGTGACGCCAGCTAAGGTGACGCTGATTAAGGCGACACTTGCTAAGGCTACGCCAGCTAAGGCGACTCAGGCTAAGGTGGCGCCATCCAAGGCGACGCCAGCCAAGGCAACGCCAGTTAAGGCGACGCCGCCAGCTAAGGTGACGCCAGCGACACCAGCTAAGGCGACACGTGCAAGCCCTACTGCCATAGTAGGTGTGAAGGCTACAGGTGCAAGCAGCCCAGCAGCAGCAGCCGCAGCAGCAGCTCCTCTCACCATGAAGGCGGGTCTTGTCTGGGTGGAGAAAAACGCGTTTGACGTTTTAAACGCTTGCGTTCAAAAGCAGCGTTTTAAACGCAGAACGCATTTCCAGGATTCCAAAAAAACGCCAAAAAAAAAAAAAAAAAAACGCAAGCCCGGGCAGGGTAAAAAAAAAGGTACGGGCAGGCAAAAAAACCTCTCATGGTGCAAGGGAAGGGCGGGAAGAAGCACATAGCATAGATTTGAGGAGATTTTTTCCGATACAAAAAATTCCCCCCCCCAACATAAGGTTCCCATAGTCACGATTAGTTAGTCACTCCAGTCAAGCAATAAGCAAACTAGAGCAAGCTACCACGGTCCACGCCATCTCCTCTAATCTTCGTCCTCCCCGCCCTCCTCCTCCTCGCCCTCCTCCTCCTCTTCGCCATCCTCCTGGTGCGCGTGCTCATCCACACAGATCGCGTCCTCATCCTCCTCCACCTCCCCATCCTCCTCCAGCTTGTAGACCTCGGGGAGGGGGGGAGTGGGAATGTTCCCCTCCACGATCCCCCCCTTCCTTCCCACCCCACTAGGCCCTGCAACAGCCGCTCCCTTGTGATGGTTGTGCACAACTGTCCAGTTGTGTGCAACGTACACAAGGTCCCGGACCTTCTCCGACCCGAGCCTGTTCCTGCGTGTCGTGTGCACGCCGTCCCAAACAGACCAGTTCCGCTCGCACGGGGCGGCGGAAACTGGCTGGGACAGCGCACGACGCGCAAGTCCAGCCAGGTCTGCATACTCCCAGCCGTGATACTGCCACCACGCCAGCACGTCCCCCTTCCCATCCTGCAGCTCCTCACGCCCCAATCTCGCCTCCTCCGATCCGAAGCTCCCAGTGGCGTTGATGTACGCCAACATCCCCTCCTGCAAACTCTTGTGCGGCCCCTTCTTCCCCTTCCAGATGTTGTCGACAAAGACCTTAGAGCCGGCGAGCCACTCCCTCATCACCTTGGTGCACTCGACGTCACGCAGGAAAATCTCCTCCAGCTGGTTGGCCGGATTAAGGATCAGGCCAACCGCGTGAAGGGGGCACGCCAAACTCTCGTCCCAACGGCGCCTCAAGTGCTCCTGCACCTCCACCTTCTCCTCCTCCTTCAGCTTACACATATCACCATCCAGCAGCTTCGCCATGTCCTCCGTCAGCTGCAGCATGATGTCATAGATAGCACCCATCATCCCCTTCGCCTGCGAGTCCGTCCTCCTCATCACCATGAATGGCACCTCCATCATCTGCAAAAAAAACCCCGCTTTCTCCCACCAATCCACATCCATCACCCACGCCTCGAAGTCACACGCCGTCGTCTTCTTCTCCTTCGTCCCCTTCTTCCCCTTCATCTTCTTCCAGCCGTCATGCACCACCATCTGCAGCAGCTGCGAGCGAAGCTGGCAAAGACGAGACACGGCAATGTACTGCGTCCCAAAACGCGTGCCCACCGGTCACAGCGGCTGCAGCGCCTTCCCACCGTGCAGCTCCGGGCTCCGCAAAAAAAACGCGCGTCCACACGTGAAGCGTAGAAACGTGATCATGTCGCCCGCTCGGCCGACGACGTCTCGCGCCCACTCCATCTTGCCGATGTCCTCCATCAGCAAGTCGAGCACGTGGGTGGCGCATGGCACATGCTCGATGTGCGGCCACTCCGCCTGCAGCAGCTTGCATGCCGACGCGTAGTTGCTGCCACCGTCCATGCACAGCACGGCGACATTCTCCGGGCCGATCTTCTTTATGATCGGGCGCAAGATGCCGGCCACGAACGCTCCGCTCTTCAGCTCCATTTTGCAGTCAACTGCCTTGACGAAAACAGCACCGGCGTCGTTGAGGAGCAGGATGTTCATCTGCGCGCGCCCGCTCTTGTCCGTCATCATATCGCTGGCGATCGTCACGCCCGTCTTCGCCCACGTGTCGGTAATCGGCGCCAATCCCTTCTTGATCCTCTTCTTGCACGCCAGGAGTCCGGCGCCGCCGACGTAGTCACGCTTGGGAGGGACGTAGTTGGGGCCGGCGGCGGTGACGGCGCGAAGCATGTTGAGGAAGAGGGGGTTCTCGCACTGCCGTTCCGCCACGCGCATCCCCGCGAAATAGAGGCATATCGCCTCGTCGGCATTCCGCGTGGACGAGAGACCCTCGTCTCCGTAGAAGTCTTCCATGCACCCCCGTTTCGGCTTTGGCCCCGCCGCGCTCTTGCCGCTCACTAAAGAGATCGCCGCCTCTGCCGCCTTCTCCTTGTCCTTGCGCGCCGCAATTTTCCCCTCCATCAACGCGCGAATCTCATCGAAAACGCGCTTGGGTACGTTCTTTCAAATCGGGCCAACCTCACGGCGATCTCAGAATCCCAACCACTAGACCATTGGGATAAAAGGGCTTGTTTCAGTAGCGGGTCAGTGCGCCCATAACCCCCCAGGCAAACGTGCCTGTAACCCTTCCCTAGGATCGATCGGGGATCACCAGTGGACCTCTGACACCCCCCCGCACTGGGATGCCCGAAGTGCATACACCAAGATTCGAACCCGAGACCTTCGCTCTGGATACCATCTCAGAATCCCAACCACTAGACCATTGGGATAAAAGGGCTTGTTTCAGTAGCGGGTCAGTGCGCCCATAACCCCCCAGGCAAACGTGCCTGTAACCCTTCCCTAGGATCGATCGGGGATCACCAGTGGACCTCTGACAGGCGAGTATTGGGGTTGTTTCATATGGCGAGGTGAGAGGCGCAACGGACACTAGTAAAGCTAAACGTCTTGCCGCAAAAGTCACATTTCGCTTGCTTAACCTTCTTGTTTGGATTAGTGAAAAAGGTGTAATGCGAATAGACAAGGTGCTTAGACTTATCAGATGTATCCGCATTCTCCTCGTTATCGGCGGCCGTGGTGCTAACGTCAACGACAGGAGGAGGACTACGGTCGGAATCACCGGTGGAATCCCTAGACGTGGAAGCCATAACTTAGAGGGGGAGCTTGCTAAACCCACAAGGGTTTTTGAAAGAGAATTTGGGATCTAGAAAGGAGAAGCACAAATGAGTCACTTTCACCTCCTTAACCATTGTGGTGGCTGGCCACAATGGTTGGAGTTTGTAGATGGTGTGCGGAGCAAAGTGTTTGGGTTCAATTTTGAACTCAAACTTGGGAATTTTGGTGTGGGGTAGATTTAGTGGGGCCGATTTGGGTTGGAAGGGGTTTTTTTTTTTACGAAATTGACATTCGCGCTAAAATCGCGAATGTCCATTTCGTAAGCTGGAAAAAAATTCGGGCTGCCCGAAAATTTTTCTCCCATGCGTTCTGCGTTTTCTGGTGCGTTTTGTGTTTTTCTCCACTCAGGGTCTTGTTGGCGGGTCTTGAATCCCCAAATCTGCAAGCAGTGCGGCAACAAGGAGGGTTGCAGCAGGAGCGACTGCGAGTGGCATTCCCAAGCCAAGGAAGGTAGCACCCATGTGAATGACTGAAAAAAAAAAAAAAAAAAAAAAAAAAAAAAAAAAAAAACAACAACAACAACAACAACAACAACAGCATTAGATGAGATTCAGGGGGGTGTACAATGGGGATTTGAAAGAATGACTGTGGTGGGTGAGATGGCATGGCTGGTGGGGGCAAGAGGCAGGTGCATGGAGGGACTTACCCCTTTTTCCACCCTGCTTGCAGGGTGTTGTGGGAGAGATGGGAGGAGAGGCGGAGGAATGTGGTGAGCTGGAATGGGGGTGCATGGCATGAGGGGGAAGAATATGCCTTTGAATTCGTGGCTGCATGGCATGAAATGGCATTCAGTTAGATCCGTTGCTGCACGGCGTGAAATGGCATTCTGTTAGATCCGTTGCTGCTCACCTGCCTGGCTCTTGAATTCCCTTGGATTCGCTGCTGCAGCGTCTTGCTAGGCTCTTGCATAGTAGCAAGTTGTAGATTCTCATAGATTATGTTGTAGGTCTGTAGCTTGTAGTCTTTGATGCTTTATTTATGTATATGCTGTTTCTGCACTTTCTGTGCTGGTGTGTTGCGACTGAGTGGTGCATGAAAGTAAGGAATGGTTTTGGTGTGTGTATTCGTGTGGTGAGGGGTGAAGCTGGTGTAAGTGACTTGATGGTGCTGCCATTGGCTGTTTGATTCACGGGAAATGCTTGTGCCGACTGTTGTCATGACTTCACCCCGTTTTGATCCCTTTCTTTCCCTCTGCATCCCCTCCTCTTACCCCCTGCTTCGAATGATCTCATCTCAACGTTTTTCCTCTGCGCTTCTTACTGGAGTCGTGGTTGGGAATTCTGAGCATTCGTTCCATTGTCCCTCGACTTACCCCGTCCCTTCCTGACGTCTCTTGTCTGTCACTTTTGTGCTGCTTGGTGAGTATTTCATTCCAGTTTCATCACGTCCTAATGTCATCAGGCTTTAAGTTTGTCAACAGAGTCTTATCAGCTCCATATGCGTTTACCATTCCTTATCAGCTCCTGATGCTTTCCTATAGCAGACGACGCTGCATTGTTTTTTCTTTTAGCATATGATGCTGCATTGCTTGCACGCCAGTTTCATCACCTCCTGATTATTTCCCGATTTCATGCCAATCCGCTCGCAGATCATGTCACGATGCTTTAAGATTCTCATACGACAGTTCTCAGCTCGTCAACTCCTTTTCCCTGTCATGTCCCTTTCATTAGCTCATCATCCGCTCCTTAGCTCATGAGCCACATGCCATTCATACCAGCTCATCATGCTTTGAGATTCCCATGCGACCATTCTCAGCTCATCATTGCTTCACCCTGTCATGTCCCTTTCATTAGCTCATCATTCGCTCCTTAGCTCATGAGCTGCATGCCATTCACATCAGCTCATGATGCTCTCAGTTGGTCCTGCTCATCTCAGCTCAGCATGATGCTGGGAGGGAGTGGTGTGAAGAAATGAGGAATGAAGAAGAGAGGAGGATTCACTAGCAAACATTGGGATACATATAGCAAACCCTAAAACGGTTGTACTCACTATAGAGTACCCCACTGCAGACTAGAGAAACATAATATTCTGACACACCCCCATAGTCAAAGTGGGGTGTAATTAGCAAAACAAGCAAAGCAAAACAAGCTCATAATATTCTGACACACCCCCATAGTCAAAGTGGGGTGTAATTAGCACAACAAGCAAAGCAGAACAAGCTCAGGGTGGATCCCAATGTCACCACACATTCTGAGCACAAGTACAAGAAGCAAAAGTTTAAAGTTCACAAATGTAAGCAAAGCTAGAGGCTATCGCAGAGGGCAAGTGTGGAGGAGGGACTATGAGAGGAGAGGAGGTAGTGGGCGGCAGCTGAAGCTGCTGGCACACAGCGCAACTAGAGCAACTAGCACACGGGCAATTGGAGCAACAGGCACACTGGCAACTGGAGCAACTGGCACACGGGCTACTGGAGTAACTGGCTCCGCGGCTAACTCTGAGCGGCAGGAGCAACGGACTCACGGGCGACTGGAGCAACGGGCTCACGGACGACTGGCGCAGCGGGCTCACGGGCGACTGGCGCAACGGTCTCACGGGCGACTGGAGCTGCGGGCTTCACGGCAGCCACCCCCTTCAACCTCCCCAAACTATCCCACCCCCATTTCACGCACCCTCTACTGCACCCCTAGGTTCACTCACACCCCACCCCCTAGCACCACTCCGTCGACTCCCACACACCCACCCCCCTCAACGGCAGCTGCAACAGTGAGAGACAGAGGAGGAGGAGGAGCAGGGGAGACCACACACCCGCCACCCCCCACTCGCCACCCCCAGACCCTAACACAGGGCAGGGCGGGACGGCGGGTAGGGAGGTTACGGGGGGGGGGGGGGGGGGGGGGGTGGGGGCCGACGCGCGGCCTCCCTGGGCGCCAAAACAGGCGGCAGAAGGGGCGGCGCTCGCCCCCCTCCCCCAGGTGCGGCCCCCGAGGGAGCCGCGACGGGCGACGGGAAAAGGGGGGGGGGGCGGTGCACGTGCCCCCGGTGCGCCGCGACTGGCGACAAAGCATGGCCGGGGCGGGGCCGGGGCAGGGTCGAGGAAGGGCCAAAAGGGGCGGCGACGGGGCCGCAAGTGGCTGCGACGGGGCCGCTGGAGGCGGCGACGGGGCCGATAGGGGCAGCGACGGGGCCGCTAGGGCCGGCGACGGGGCCGTTGGCGGCGACGGGGCCGCTAGGGTCGGCGACGGGGCCGCTGGCGGCGGCGACGGGGCCGATAGGGGTGGCGACAGGGCCGTTAGGGGCGGCGACGCGGCCGCTGGCGGCGGCGTCGGGGCCAATAGGGGCGGCGACGGGGCCGCTAGGGTCAGCGACAGGGCCGCTGGCGGCGGCGACGGGGCCGATAGGGGCGGCGACGGGGCCGCGAAGGGGCCGCGAGGGGCCTGAGAGGTCGGCGACGGGGCCGCTGGCGGCGGCGACGGGGCCGATAGGGGCGGCGACGGGGCCGCGAAGGGGCCGCGAGGGGCCTGGAAGGGACGGCAACGGGGCCGCAAAGGGGCTGCGAGGGGGCGAGAAGGGCGGCGACGGGGCCGCGAGGGGTGGCGACGGGGCCACTAAGGGTTGCGCGAGGGGCACGCCACGGGGCGTGTAGTACATAGAGTAGCAGCGGAAGCAGTTGGGTGGGCCCACAGGCCAGGAGCGTAGATGCTCTGATAGCATGTTAATAATGACGAATGAAGAAGAGAGGAGGTTCAGTAGCAAACATTGGGATACATATAGCAAACCCTAAAAGGGTTGTACTCACTATAGAGTACCCCACTGTAGACTAGAGAAACATAATATTCTGACACACCCCCATAGTCAAAGTGGGGTATAATCAACACAACAAGCAAAGCAGAACAAGCTTAGGGTGGATCATTCTGACAAGTGGTGCGTGGAAAGGAGGGACAGCTGTTGACGTGCCTTTGGCCAGAGGAGGGGTGAAGAAGGGGGAAGTGGTTCAGCAGGGGTGTGGAGAATTCTCACGCTCACTTGCTTCTCGTGGATCTCTTCAAGTGCTGGTTGTCAAATTATAATGTTGTCTAGGCTTTAGTGGGGTAGCCCATATGGGGTACACATTTCTAGGGTTGCATATTTGTATCACTTTCATTCCATAGTCATTCATTCTCGTTCTACTTTTCTCATGGTATCAAGCATTGTGAGGATCTGGGATCGAGCTCAGAAAAGATGATTCAAATTGAATTGAATGATCACCTGGGTACAACACGAGGCTATATATAGGCTCGACACAAGGCCCCGTAACCAGGTGTTACGCGAAGGTTCCGCGGGTCGCGAAGCGTCCCGAACAGATCCTTACCGAACTCGGTAGAAGGCAAATCGGTGGCAACCGAAAAGCCAGAATTCGGTGCACGCAACCTAGCTCGGTGCTAGAACTATAATAAAATATAGGAAAGCACCTAGCCTAGGAAATCAAGCAATTCATGCATGCATATGATAAAGTAAAGGCAAGCAAGCATAGCTTGACAAAGTTTGAAGAAAGAAAGAGGAATGAACTAGCAGAAATGGGGATACAAATAGCAAACCCTAGAAGGGTTGTACTCGCTATAGAGCACCCCACTACAGGCTAGAACATAAGAATAATGTTCTGACACACCCCCATAGCCAAAGTGGGGTGTAATCAGCAGAGCAGGCAAAGCAAAACAAGCTCAGGGTGGATCACAATGTCACCACACATTCTGAGCACAAGTTCAAGAAGAAATAGTTTAGAGTTCACAATTATAAGCAAAGCTAGTGGTAGTCACAACGGGCAAGTGAGGAGGAGGAGGGAGAGTGAGGGGAGAGGAGACAGGAGGCGACGGCTGAAGCTGCAGACACACGGGCAACAGGAGGCAGACTGGCACAGCGGCTACCGAACAGCGCCCGGACTACAGGAGTAACAGGCCCCGCGGCTCAAATAGCGGCGGACGGGCAACGGACCCACGGGCGGCTGGCACAGCTGGCTACGACTGGGCTACCGGGACAGCGCCCCGGACTACAGGTGCTGCGAACGACAAACTGACAACCTCCACTCAACCTCTCGCACACAGTCCCACCCCCCTGATACACACCCACTGCTACACCGCTAGCTCTACTCCCACGCACCCCCCCTTAAACCCTAAACCCGAGTCTCCCACGCAACCACCCCCCTCAGCGACAGCTGCAGCAGTGGGAGACGGAGGAGGAGGAGGAGCAAAGGGAGGAAGGCACACCGAGCACCCCCATACCCGCCACCCCACAGCGGCCCCCGAAGGAGCCGCGACGGGCGACGCGAAATGGGGGGGAGGGGAGAAAAGGGGGGGGGGGGGGGGGGGGGGGGGGCGGTGCCGCGACGAGGGGCGGGGCCGCGACGGTCGGGGCGGGGCCGCGACATAGGGCGGGGCCGCGACGTAGGGCGGGGCCGCGACATAGGGCGGGGCCGCAACATAGGGCGGGGCCGCAAAGGTAGGGCGGGGCCGAGCCGGGCAGGCGCACGGGCGGCGACGGGCCGGGGCGGGGCCGCGACGAAGGGCGGGGCCGAGCCGGGCAGGCGCACGGGCGGCGACGGGCCGGGGCGGGGCCGCGACGTAGAGCGGGGCCGCGTCGAGGGGCGGGGCCGCGACGATCGGGGCGGGGCCGCGACGTAGGGGAGAAGCCCGCCGCGCGCCCCGGGGCGCACAGCGGGCAATGAACCGCCGCGCGCCTCGAGGCGCACGGCGGGCAGAAAACCGCCGCGCGCCTCGGGGCGCACGGCGGGATGAAAAAAAATGCCGCACGCCACGGGGCGTCCGGCTCAGAGAGTAGTAGCAGTAGTAGCAGCGGAAGCGAAGCGGTGGTAAGCCCACCCACAGGATCGATCCAGGGGGATCGACCTGCTCTGATAGCATGACAAAGTTTGAAGAAAGAAAGAGGAATGAACTAGCAGAAATGGGGATACAAATAGCAAACCCTAGAAGGGTTGTACTCGCTATAGAGCACCCCACTACAGGCTAGAACATAAGAATAATATTCTGACATACCTGGCATAAGCCGTCGTACTCTCACAAGCAGGTTCCCCCGTGGGAACTGTGCCTAGGGCCCACCACATCGATCTTTTTTTTTTTTTTTTTTTTTTTTCTGGCCCGAAGCGCGCTCAGCCCGAGTCGCGCTCTGGGCTCTCACCTCTTCGAGCCGCCCTAGTAGCCCCCCAACGCCCTAGCAGTCCCGCCGCCCGTCGATTCGGCCCCGCCGCCCTTCTCAGCGGCCCCACCGTCCTTCTTAGCGGCCCCGCCGCCCCACATTGCGGCCCCGCCGCCCTTCTTCGCGGCCCTGCCGCCCTTGCTGCGGCCGCGCCACCCCTCGCTGCGGCCCCGCCGCCTCACATCGCGGCCCCGCCACCGTTTGCTGCGGCCCCGCCGCCCGTCTCAGCGGCCCCGCCGCCCTTCTTCGCGGCCTCGCCACCCTTTGCTGCGGCCCCGCCGCCTCACGTTGGGGCCCCGCCGCCCATCTCAGCGGCCCCGCCGCCCGTCTTAGCGGCCCCGCCGCCCTTCACTACGGCCCCGCCGCCTCTCTCGCTGCGGCCCCGCCGCCCTACTCAACGGCCCCGCCGCCCTTCTACTGCGGCCCCGACGCCCTTCTCAGCGGCCCCGCCGCCCTACTCAGCGGCCCCGCCGCCCTTCTACTGCGGCCACGCCGCCCCTCTCAGCGGCCTTGCCGCCCTTCTCAGCGGCCCCGCCGCCCTTTACCTGCGGCCCCGCCGCCCCTTTCAACAGCGGCCCTGCCGCCCTACACCGCCTGCGCCGCCCAAGCAGCCTTAACCGCCCGAGCAGCCCGAGCCGCCCGACCTGCCTGAGCCGCCCGAGTTGCCAGACCAGCCCGAGCCACCTGAGCCACCCGAGCCGCCCGAGCCACCCGAGCCGCCTGAGCCGCCCGAGCCGCCTAAGGAGCCGAGCCGCTGGTGCCACGGAGCCACAGTTGCTACTGTGCCGTCCGAGCAGCCATGTTGCCGTGCTGCTGTACTGCTGAGCTGCCCGACCCGCCCTGTCTGGTGAGAGCAGCGCTTCTGTCACTGCACTGCCCCTGTCCTACAATTGGTACTGCTAGTCTACTGCTGTCATGGCTACCCCCAGTGTTCTTGTTTTTGACGCTGAGGGTCGAGCCATTGACTTTGAGGTTTGGGTAGATGACCTGCAGCTTTTCCTACAATGCGATAGGGCAGACGGTCTCTCCCTCTTTGACCTCACCTCTGGCTCCTCTCTTGCCCCTGCTGCTGATGCTGACCCCACTGTTTGCTCCCAGTGGGCCACGCGCGATGCTGCTGCACGTCTTGTTGTGCGTCGCCACCTGCCTACCACTGAGCGCGCGCACTTTAGTCAGTACAAGAGTGCTCAGACCTTGTACGACGCTGTAGTTGCGCGCTACTCTTCCCCTGCCACTGCTGCACTGAGCCGCCTCATGCTACCGTACCTCTTTCCTGACCTTGCTGCCTTTCCCATAGACGCTGACCTCATTACGCACCTCCGCACTAGTGACACTCGCTACCGCGCCGCGCTTCCTGCTGAGTTCTGCGCCAAGAACCCCCCCCCCCGTGTACATCACTCTCTATTGTATAGTCACCCGCCTCCCTGACTCCCTTCGCGTAGTCAGGGACCACTTCCTCTCACTCTGTCCCACCACTCTCACTGTTGACCTTGTAGAGAAGGCCCTCCTAGCAGCGGAGAAGAGCATAGTCGATGTAGGAGCCTCTCGTGGTGACCCTCGCACCCCCATCTTTGAGAGGTGTTCCCCTTCCCCCCTGTTGCCCTCTGTCGCCTCTGCTGCTGCGGCCGACCTCGTTGGTCTTGAGTCGGTCGGTGCGGCGTCAGCCCCTAGCGGGAGACGCCGCTCTGGCAAGGGCAAGGGGGGCAACGGCGCGGGTGGAGCTAGCGGGGGTGGTGGAGGTGGCGGTGGAGGCGGCGGAGGGAGTGGGGGTGGCGGTGGGAGTGGTGGCGGGGGTGGAGGTGGCAGTGGCAGCAGCGGAGGCGGAGGCGGCGTAGGCGGCAGCGGTGGGAGCGGAGGCGGCGGTGGTGGCGGAGGTGGAGGCGGCGGTGGTGGAGGAGGTGGAGATGGTCGGGGTGGTGCTTCGCAGCGGAGCGGCTCCGGTGGTGGTCAGCGCTAGCAGCAGCAGCAGCAGCAGCGTTCTCGGGACATCCCCCCTCCTCAGCAGCTCCGTGAGTGGTACACGCAGCGTCAGCGTGGTGGGGGTTTTGGCCCGTGCACCTACGTCCTTCGCTCCGGCGACCGCGCGGGTGAGCAGTGTGGGGGTGCCCACCCCACCCAGCGCTGCTTTGGCCACCAGACGGACGCTTGGCGTCAGCAGTTCCTGGAGGCTAATGAGATCCCCCGCTGGGGAGAGATGTCTAGGGCAGGCGTAGCTATCTATGATCTTGACTTTGATGCTATCCTTGCTGCCATGTATGCTGTGACTATTAGTGATGAGGGTGACTGTTACCGGTGTTTCCCGCCCGAGCCGGGCATTGGTACTGCTGCTCTAGGTGCTGGTGAGGCTGCTGCTCTAGGTGCCAGTGCGTCTGCGCCCTCAGGTGCTGGTGAGTCTGCGCTCTTAGGTACCACATCGGCTTCGGCCTCCCTCACCTTCACACTTGACTTAGGGGCTTCTCGCTCCTTCTTTTGAGACCGCACCACACTCACGCTGCTTGGTCGGCCGGTTGCAGTCTCCCTGGCAGACCCCTTTGGGGGTCCTTTCCTCCTGTGTCCGGCTGCCCCCTCTGGCACCTTGTCTGGTCTTTACCTCCCCTCGTTCTCTACGAACTTGGTGAGTGGTGCTGACCTGCAGGATACGGGGGTTCACCAGTTTACTCCTGCGAGTCAGCGGGTGACCCACTGCTCGGACGCTCGCACAGGCCGGCACCAGGCCACGTTTACGCGTCGGCCGGGGTCGAGCCTCTACACCCTGACCATTGGGTCTCCTCCTGTCCCTGCGTCTAGCCAGGTAGCTGCGTCGGGTCAGGTGTTTGCTGCAGCGTCCAGGTCTGGTCCTGAGTCTGCCCCCTACTCGTGTCGCCTCCTGTCTCACGAGACTCTCCTCTGGCACCACCGTCTTGGTCACCCCTCCCTGCCTCGTCTCCGAGGCATGGCTTCCCGTGTCCTTGTCTCTGGTCTCCCTTGGTCCCTCCCTCCCCTTCCTCTAGGGCCTGGTCCTTCCTGTGTTCCCTGTGTCGAGGGGCGGCTCCGGGCTGCCCCTCACTCCTCTCAGTTTCCCCCGACAGAGGCCCCGCTGCAGACGCTTCACATGGACGTGTGGGGCCCGGCCCGCGTCCGTGGACAGGGTCACGAGCGCTACTTCCTGCTGGTGGTTGACGACTACTCGCGTTACACCTCAGTCTTCCCCTTGCGCAGCAAGGGTGATGTCACGGAGGTGTTGATCGACTGGATCCGCGCAGCTCGTCTCCAGCTCAGGAGGAGCTTCGGCTCGGACTTTCCTGTTCTGCGTCTGCACTCTGACCGAGGCGGAGAGTACTCCTCTGGCCTTTTGCAAGCCTACTGCCATGCGCAAGGCATCTGCCAGACCTTTACGCTTATGGACTCTCCACAGCAAAATGGGATTGCTGAGCGCCGCATTGGCATGGTCATGGACGTCGCTCGTACGTCCATGATGCATGCGGCTACCCCCCATTTTCTGTGGCCGTTTGCGGTTTGGTACGCGGCGCATCAGATCAACCTTCACCCCATGGTCTCCATGCCGGAGACCTCCCCAGCTCTGCTGTGGACGGGGAAGGTAGGCGATACGTCTGCGTTCCGTGTCTGGGGATGTCGGGCGTTTGTCTGCGACTTGTCTGCGGACAAACTGTCCCCTCGTGCTGCTCCTTGTGTCTTCCTTGGCTTCCCCACTGACGCACCAGGGTGGCAGTTCTACCAACCCTCCACTCGTTGTCTTCTGTCCTCCGAGGACGTCACATTTGACGAGTCGGTCCCCTACTACCGTCTCTTCCCCTACCGCACTCCTTCCCTCCCCCCGCCGCCGCACTTCCTTGTGCAAGGTCCCCCCCAGGTAGACCCCCTCCCCCCTCATGGTCCTGCCCCTTCAGGTGTGTCCCAGGTAGACGCAGTCGAGCCGGTCGAGGTTGCTGGTGACTCTGATACTGCTGCGGGTGCTGAGCCTGGGGGTACTGAGCTTGGGGGTACTGAGCCTGGGGGTGCTACGACTGGGGGTGCTGAGCCTGGGGGTGCTACGTCTGGAGCTGCTCAGCCTGGGGGTGCTGCGTTTGGAGCTTCGGAGCCTGGGGGTACTGAGTCTGGAGCTGCTGAGCCTGGGAGTGCGGAGCCGGCGGCCGCTGAGCCGGCTCGTGTGGCGTCTGGCGGTGCTGGGCGTGGTGGTTCTCCGCGTGCTTCGTCTCGGCGGGAGCCACTCTCTCCACAGGAGCTGCACGAGTGGTTTGCCCGACGCTGGAGGCGTACTGCTGGAGGTGCTGGTGCCGCCGGTCTCGGAGGTGCTACCCCTGGGAGTGCTTGAGCTCCTGGGCCTGCGAGTGCAACTAAAGTCGGAGCTGCTGAGGGTGTTGGCGCTGAGGCTACTGCTGTCAGTCCTAGCGGCGTTCCTGCTGCTGGTGCTGCCGGAGGTACTAGAGCTGGAGGTGTTGTTTGCACTGGTGCTGCCACTGGGGGTGCTGGTGCTGTCCCTGCTGTGTCTAGAGTCGCCGCGCGGCCTCGGCCGTACTTTGTTCCGCTCTTTCAGCAGGTTCTTGGTCTTCCTCCTCCCTTAGAGTGTCCACCGCCTGTCCAGTCGAAGTCACAGTTACCGCCGGCCTCCCCACTGCCTGCTCCTTCTCCCTACACTAGTCCTACTGGAGGTCTTGCTGAGCGTCGTGAGCCTGCGTCTCGTCCTGCGTCGCCGGTTCGTGCTGCTCGCGCTAGTGGTCGCGGTTCGCGTCAGCGTCCTCCTCCTGTCCCTGGCACGCACCGGATGTCTCTGCGTCCGTCCACTGCTCCTCTGCGTGCCCCTTTGCCTTCTCCTCCTGAGTCCTCTCTTCCTGCGCTTGCCGACCCGGAGTCGGACTCTCTTTGTGCTGCCAGTCCTACTGTCACGCGTCTCCTTGCTACTGTCGTCACTGCCCCCCTTTTGAGTCCACTGCTGCGTCTGCTCTTTTTGCTGAGCTCGTCGACTTTGCTGCTCGCTGTCGTCTAGACTACGCTGCTAGTCTCGTTGCTGAGTCTGCGTCTGTCTATCCTCCGTACGTCGGGGGTGAGTGTGCTCTTGGCACGGACGTCCTTGAGGACAGGCAGGAGGAGTTCCAGTGTCTGGCTGCTGCTTCACCTCATCTCGTGTCCGTACTGCTTACCCCTGAGGGAGACCCGGATGCACTTGACATCCCGACTCTGCGCTCCTACGCGGAGGCCGTAAAGGGTCCCTACTCCTCTCTGTGGCAGGCAACTATGGATGCAGAGATGGCTTCCTGGAAGTCCACAGGCACCTACGTTGACGCGGTTCCCCCACCTGGGGCAAACATCGTTAGTGGCATGTGGATCTTTAGGGTGAAGCAGCCGCCGGGCTCTCCGCCTGTCTTCAAGGCGCGTTACGTGGCTCGTGGCTTCAGTCAGCGGCAGGGAGTTGACTACTTTCAGACCTTCTCTCCCACCCCGAAGATGACCACTCTTCGGGTACTGCTGCACATAGCCGCTCAGCGCACCTACGAGCTTCACTCTCTTGACTTGAGCACTAATTTCTTGCAGGGCAGCCTACACGAGGAGATCTGGCTGCGTCGCCCACCTGGCTTCACTGGGACTTTCCCTCCTGGCACCCAGTGGAGCCTCCGACGGCCAGTCTACGGTCTTCGACAGGCACCGCGCGAGTGGCACGACACACTGAGGACTACGCTTGCGGCTCTTGGGTTTGCTCCCTCTACTGCTGACCCGTCGCTGTTTCTACGCACCGACACCTCTTTGCCGCCGTTCTACATCCTCGTGTACGTCGACGACTTGGTCTTTGCCACTGCTGACACTGCTGGACTCGCCCACGTGAAGTCCGAGCTGCAGAAGAGACACACGTGCACAGACCTGGGTGAACCGCGCAGCTATTTTGGCTTGCAGATCACCCGGGATAGAGCACGCCGCACCATTACCCTGACTCAGTCACACATGGTGCAGCAGGTCCTTCAGCGCTTCGGCTTCACGTACTCCTCGCCTCAGGCCATTCCTCTGCCTACTCGCCACTCGCTCTCAGCTCTGCCTTCGGATGAGTCCGTAGAGTCGAGTGGCCCGTACCCAGAGCTTGTTGGCTGCCTCATGTACTTGATGACCTGCACACAACCTGACCTTGCATACCCTCTTAGCATTCTTGCACGCTATGTTGCTCCTTGGAGACACAGACTAGAGCACATGGCTGCAGCGAAGAGGATGTTGCGCTACTTGTGCAGTACGTCGGGCATGGGGCTAATGCTTGGAGGGCAGAGTCCAGTGGTCCTCACTGGGCACGCGGACGCTTCTTGGGCTGACGACCAGGCTACGCAGCGGTCGTCACAGGGTTACACCTTCAGCCTTGGTTCCGGCTCTGTTTCGTGGCGGGCTACTCGCTCGTCTTCTGTTCTCGGCTCCAGTTGTGAGGCCGAGATCTACGCCGAGGCCATGGCTTCACAGGAGCTTCGCTGGCTCACCTACCTTCTGACCGACCTTGGAGAGCCGCCTCGTTCTCCTCCAGTCCTGTACGTAGACAACAAGGCCATGCTGGCCTTGTGTCGAGAGCAGAGACTGAAGCACAGTTAAAAGCACATTGCTCTTCGTTACTTCTTTGCTCGTGAGCTACAGCAGCGTGGTCAGTTGCGGCTTGCATACGTGGCCTCTGAGGCCAACACTGCTGATGTTTTCACCAAGGCACTTGCGCCTTGTGATCATCAGCGCTTCTGTACTCAGCTTGGTCTTGTGCCTGTCTTGCCTCACTTGCTCACTTCTTGACCTTGTTTGTACTGTCACATATATATACACCTGCTCTTGTTTGCTTAGCCTCTTTTATATATATATATATATATGTGTGTGTGTGCTTCTGCATGTGAACTGGCCTTCTGGCCTTGAACTTGTGCTCGGAATGTGTGGTGACTTTGTGATCCACCCTGAGCTTTGCTTTGCTTTGCTTGACTGGTCTTGTGACCCCTTGTTCTCCCCCACTTTGCCTATGGGGGTGTGTCAAATTATAATGTTGTCTAGGCTTTAGTGGGGTAGCCCATATTGGGTACACATTTCTAGGGTTGCATATTTGTATCACTTTCATTCCATAGTCATTCATTCTCGTTCTACTTTTCTCACTGGTAATGAATCTGATTAGCTCAGATCTTCTAATTGAACCCTTTTGTTTTTATTACCTCTAGCTTCAAGAGATTTTACTTCTGCTTAGAAAAGCATTTCTAGCCTGTTGCCCTGTCCGTCAGTTTTCATAGTTTCAGCACTCTTTCCATTATGTGTTCACAACTCCCTTCCTTCCCACTCAGCTTCCTTTCCTTCCACTTCCAGTCAACCTTCACCACTCTACTGTCAGTAAATGTGCACTGTGGATGCCCGATTGATCCTGGAGAGGGTTACAGGCGCGTTCGCCTGGGGGGTTATGGGCGCACTGACCCGCTACTGAAACAAGCCCTTTTATCCCAATGGTCTAGTGGTTGGGATTTTGACATGGTATCAGAGAGATCTCGGGTTCAATTCACGGTGTATGCACATGTAGGTCGTTGCCGATGTGCTTAGTCTTGGGCCTCCCAGTGTGGGGGGGTGTCAGTAGATCTGCACTGTGGATGCCAGATTGATCCTGGAGAGGGTTACAGGCGCGTTCGCCTGGGGGGTTATGGGCGCTCTGACCTGCTACTAAAACAAGCTCTTTTATCCCAATGGTCTAGTGGTTGGGATTCTGACATCTATACCTCTTCTCACCGCTTAGGTATGTTCATTCAGATTTTCCTCTTAAGGACTACCTGCACTGATTTGAGAGAATTCATGAACATATTTATCTCAACCCATCCCCCCTTGCTTCCTCACACCGTTTCCCTAGCTATCTCACAATTGGCGAATTTCATACGCTATGTTGTTTGATCGGTGTTGCCTTCCCAGTCAATATTTGCCAGTGCCTCCCGCTCTGCCCTTTTCAACCTTCACTCCCTGCTTCCGCTTTCCCTTATTTGAAAGCCAGCCTGCAATGATTCTGTCAGCACCCCTGCTGGTTGTTTGCACCATTTTGACAGCAACTGCAGTCTTTTGTGAGGGAAAGATGCCACACATTATATATGTTGTGTTAGTTTAGGCTACAGTGGGTTAGCCTATAGGGGGTACACAATTCCAGGGTTAGGTACTTGTACTCATTTCACTGCTAGTTCATTCATTCCTGTTCAGTGATTCCAACATGGTATAGAGCAGGTCCTTCCTAGGACCGAAATTTTCTAAGGGCCCACCACTACGTAACTACCTACCTACCTACCTACCTGTGCCCTAGGGCGCCTCGGCGTATCACGCCCCTAGAGGCCCCTCTTGACGGCCCCGCGCTAGCCCCGTTCAGGCCCCGTCGGCCCCACGCCCGCTCTCCCTAGCGGCCCCGTTCAGGCCCCGTCGGCCCCTTTAAGGCCCCGTTCAGGCCCCGCGCTAGCCCCGTTCAGGCCCCGTCGGCCCCGCTTCAGGCCCTGTCGGCCCCGCGCTAGCCCCTCTCAGGCCCCGTCGGCCCGCGCTAGCCCCGTTTCAGGCCCCGTCGGCCCCGCGCTAGCCCCTCTCAGGCCCCGTCGGCCCGCGCTAGCCCCGTTTCAGGCCCCGTCGGCCCCGTTTCAGGCCCCGTCGGCCCCGCGCTAGCCCCGTTCAGGCCCCGTCGGCCCCTTGCTAGCCCTGTCAAGGCCCCGTTTGGCCCCGCGCTAGCCCCGCTCAGGCCCCGATCGGCCCCGCGCTCGCCCCTCTAGGGCCCCAACCGGCCCCGTGCCGACCTCGCCGACCCTTGCCCACCACCTAGAGGCCCCGGGCGGCCCGTTCCCACGGCAGCACACGAGGGAGAGTGGGCGGCCCGTCCCCGCCGTGACCCGAGCTGCGCGACTCGAGCCGCGCGCCCCGAGCCAAGCCGCGCGCCCCGAGCTGAGCCGCGCCACCCAACCGAGCCGCGGCGCCCTGCCCTACCTGGTTCGTCCTACCTGCTTCTCCTACTGCTACTGCTGCTATTTCTACTGTTCCTATGGCTAGCCCACAGGTTCTCGTGTTCGATGCTGAGGGCCGCCCTGTGAAGTTTGACACCTGGCTCGATGACCTGCACCTCTACCTACAGCTCACAGCCAAGGATGACATCTCACTGTACGATCACGCCCTAGGCCATGTCACTGCCCCTGCTGCTTTTGCTGAGAGCACTGCTCGCTCACAGTGGCAGACTCGTGATGCCCACGCTCGCTTCGCCATTCGCAACTCCCTGCCGATAGACGAACGCGAGCACTTTGGTCAACACAAGACTGCACAGGCACTGTACACAGCTGTAGTTGCTCGCTACTCCTCACCTGCCTCTGCCGCACTAGGCCGTCTCTCCCTCCCCTACCTGTTTCCCGACCTGGCCTCCTTTCACACAGTCGCTGACCTCATCACGCACCTCCGTACTAGTGAGGCCCGCTTCCGTGCCGCCATGCCTGCTGAGCTCCTTGCCACGCACCCCCCTCCACTCTGGCTCACTCTCTACCACCTAGTCACCCGCCTCCCTGACACACTGCGTGCTGTCAGGGACCACTTCCTAGCTCGTTGCCCCACTGAGCTCACCATTGCCCTCCTCGAGAAGGAGCTACTTGGAGCTGAGACTAGCATAGTCGCTGTAGGTGCCTCTCGTGGCGACCCCCTTACCCCGTTCTTTGAGGGGTGTTCTCCTTCCCCCCTTCTTCCCTCTGTCGCCTCTGCTGCTGCTGTCGACCTTCTTGGTACTGAGAAGGTCGGCGCTGCGTCTGCCTCGAGCGGACGCCGCAGCGGCAAAGGCAAAGGGGGCAAGGGTGGTGGCGGTGACGGCGGGGGAGGCGGCGGTGGGGGCGGTGGAGGCAGTGGGGGTGGTGGCTCGGCTGGAGGGGCGAGTGGTAGCGGTGGGGGTGGTGGCGGCAGCGGCGGGGGAGGTGGCAGGAGTGGAGGCGGCGGTTGGGGTGGCGGTGGACGAGGCGGCGGCAGGGGTTGGGGTGGTCGAGGAGGTGGCAGCGGTGGTGGTGGCCGTGGAGGTACTGCCGGTGGCCAGGGCCAGCAGCACACTCTGTCGCCCCAGGAGGTCCGTGAGTGGTACTCTCAGCACGGGGGTGGGGGTGGTCTTAGCTGCACGTACGTCATTCGCACTGGTGACCGCACTGGTCAGCAGTGTGGACGACCGCACGCCACACAGCGCTGCTTCTCTCGTCTCGACGACGCTTGGCGTGTTCAGTTCCCTCAGGCCACTGAGCTGCCCCGCTGGCTTGATCTCCTGAAGAAGGGGATTGATATCTATGCTCTAGACTTTGATGCTATTCTATCTGCCATGTATGTGATGTCTACTACCAGTGGAGAGGGTGCTGAGTACTTGTGTGTGCCGCCCGACCCGGGCATTAGGGCCAGTGCGTCTGCCGCTCCAGGTACTCGCGTGTCGGCTACCCCAGGTGCTGGTGAGGCTGCTGCTCTAGGTGCTCGTGTGTCTCCCCCCCTGGTACTGCGTCGACTGCCGCACTGCACACCTTCACACAGGACTCAGGTGCTTCTCGCTGCTTCTTTCGTGACCGCACTGCCCTTGAGTCGCTTGCTCGGCCAGTTGCTGTCTCCCTTGCTAACCCCTCTGGGGGTCCGGTCATTGCGACCTCTTCCACTGTCCTTCCCTGCCCTGCGGTCCCGTCGGGCACACTGTCAGGTCTCCACCTCCCCTCGTTCTCTACGAACTTGGTGGCAGGATGTGCACTCCAGGACGGGGGTGTTCACCATTTCACCCCTGCCTACGAGCGCGTGACACACTGCACGTGTGCTCGTACGGGCCGTCACTTAGCTACCTTCACTCGGCAGCCAGGGTCGGACCTTTACACACTGACTACTGAGTCCCCTCAGGTTGCTGCGACTGCGTCCGCGTCCGTGTCAGGTCAGCTGTCGGCCCCCTGCTCGTGTCGCTCTTTGGCACACGAGACTGTCCTCTGGCACCACCGCCTTGGCCACCCGTCTGTGCAGCGGCTTCGTGCCATGCACTCCCGGTACCTTGTCTCTGGCCTGCCAAGGGTCCTTCCTGCCCTCCCACCCTCGCCTGCTCCTACCTGTCTCCCCTGTGTCGAGGGACGGCAGCCCGCCCGCTCCTCACTCCTCCTCGTTCCCCCCGACGACTACTCCCTTCCAGACACTCCACATGGACGTGTGGGGCCCAGCCCGCGTCCGTGGTCAGGGTCAGGAGAGGTACTTCCTGATAGTTGTTGACGACTACTCGCGCTACACCTCGGTCTTCCCCTTGCGCACCAAGGGTGAGGTCCCTGATGTCTTGATCCCTTGGATCCGCAGAGCCCGTCTCCAACTCAGCGAGCGTTTTCACTCGGACTTTCTTGTCCTGCGCTTGCACTCTGACAGAGGTGGTGAGTTCTCCTCCGACCTCTTGGCAGCCTACTGTGCTGAGCACGGCATTGAGCAGTCGTTCACGCTTCCGGCTTCTCCACAGCAGAATGGGGTTGCGGAGCGCCGCATTGGCCTGGTCATGGAGGTCGCTCATACCTCCTTGATCCATGCGGGTGCCCCCCACTTTCTGTGGCCGTTTGCGGTCCGGTACGCTGCGCATCAGCTCAACCTCTGGCCCCGTGTCTCCTTGCCAGAGACCTCGCCCACGCTGCTGTGGACGGGGGAGGTTGGCGATGCGTCGCGTTTCCGGGTCTGGGGATCTCGAGCTTTTGTCCGCGATTCGTCTGCGGACAGGCTCTCCTCCCGTGCTGTTCCCTGCGTCTTCCTCGGCTTTGTCCCGGACGCGTCTGGCTGGCAGTTTTACCACGCCACCTCGCGCCGAGTCTTGCCCTCCCAGGACGTCACTTTTGACGAGTCCGTCCCCTACTACCGCCTCTTCCCCTACCGCACTGCCCCGCTCCCCCCCCCCCGCCTCTCTTCCTCGCGCCAGGTGCTGCTGTTGTAGACCCCCTCCCCCCTCAGGGTGCCGCTCCCTCAGGTGTGTCTCAGGTAGACCCGGTTGAGCCTGTTGAGGTAGCTGTCGACTCTCGTCCTGCTGGGGGTGCTGAGCCTGGGGGTGCTGAGCCTGGGGGTGTGGAGCCTGGGGGTGTGGAGCCTGGGGGTGTGGAGCCTGGGGGTGTGGAGCCTGGGGGTATGGAGCTTGAGGGTGCTAAGCTTGGGGGTGTGGAGCCTCGTGGTGCTGAGCTGCGGAGTCCGGAGTCTGAGGGTTCTGAGTCTGGAGGTACTAGGCCTGGGAGTCTTGCACCTGGAGGAGCCCTCTCCTCGGAGTAGCTGCGTGCGTGGTACTTAGAGTACTGCAGCCTCCGGAGAGGTACCGCTCGAGCCGGACGTACTACTAGGACTGGTGCTAGTGCTTCTTCTCCCGTTCGGGAGCTCCCCTCCTGCGAGCGGATCTGTGAGTGGTACGAGCGGCGCTGCACTCTTCGGAGTGGCGTGCCTCGTGTTACGGACCCCGCTGCTGTTGGAGCTACAGCTGGTGCTGAGGACCCGGGCGTTGGAGCTGCTGCTGGTGCTGAGGACCCGGGCGTTGGAGCTGCTGCTGGTGCTGAGGACCCGGGCGTTGGAGCCGCTGCTGGTGCTGAGGACCCGGGCGTTGGAGCCGCTGCTGGTGCTGAGGACCCGGGCGTTGGAGCTGCTGCTGGTGCTGAGGACCCAGGCGTTGGAGCTGCCGCTGGTGCTGCGGACCCGGGCGTTGGAGCTGCTACTGGTGCTGAGGACCCGGGCGTTGGAGTTGCCGCTGGTGCTGAGGACGTGGGCGCTGGAGCTGCTGCTGGTGCTGCAGACCCTAGTGCAGGTGTCCTTGCTGGCTCTGGTGTCGCTGCTCGGTCTCGGCCGTACTTTGTTCCGCTCCTTCAGCAGGTTCTTGGTCATCTTCCTCCTCCTTTTCCTCCTCCCTCCTTAGCGTGTCCTCCGCCTGTCCAGCTGCAGTCGGCGTTACCGTCTACCTCCTCTCTCCTTGGTCCTGCTCCTTACACTGGTCCGACTGGAGGTCTTACTGAGCGGCGTGAGCCTGCGTCTCGTCCTGCGTCGCCTGAGTCTCGTCCTGAGTCGCCTGTCCGCACTGCTCTCTCTAGTATTCGAGTCCAGCGTCAGCGTCTTCCTGCTGTCCCAGGCACTCACCGGATGGCGCTTCGTCCGTCCACTGCTCCACAGCGTGTCCCACTGCCGTCTCCTCCTGCTTCCTCTCTTCCTTCTCTTGCTGACCCTGGGTCAGACTCTCTTCGTGCTACCAGTCCTACTGTCATGCTTCTCCTGGCTACTGTTGTCACTGACCCTTCCTTTGAGTCAGCTGCTGCGTCTGCCTTAGTTGCTGAGCTTGTCGACTTTGCTGCTCGCTGTCGTCTAGACTACGCTGCTAGCCTAGTTGCTGAGTCTGAGTCTGTCTATCCTCCGTCCGTCGGGGGTGAGTGTGCTCTTGGCACGGACGTCCTTGAGGACAGTCATGAGGAGTTTGAGTGCTTTGCTGCCGCTTTGCCCCATCTCGTGTCCATGCTTGTTGCCCCTGAGGGAGACCCGGATGCACCAGACATCCCGACCCCACGCTCTTACGCAGAGGCGATGGCCAGTCCCTACTCCTCTCAGTGGCAGTCAGCCAAGGACACAGAGATGGCTTCCTGGAAGTCCACAGGCACCTACGTCGACGAGGTTCCCCCACCTGGGGCGAACATCGTCAGTGCCATGTGGATTTTCAGGGTGAAGCGGCCGCCGGGCTCTCCGCCTGTCTTCAAGGCGCGTTACGTTGCACGAGGCTTCAGTCAGCGAGAGGGAGTTGACTTCTTCTAGACCTTCTCCCCGACCCCAAAGATGACCACTCTTCGGGTTCTGCTGCACGTTGCCGCTCAACGTGACTACGAGCTCCACTCGCTTGACTTCAGCACTGCTTTCTTGCAGGGCAGCCTGCACGAGGAGATCTGGCTGCGCCGTCCACCTGGCTTCACTGGGTCGTTCCCTCCTGGTACCCAGTGGAGCCTCCGACGGCCAGTCTACGGTCTCCGCCAGGCGCCTTGTGAGTGGCACGACACACTGAGGACTGCGCTTGCGGCTCTTAGGTTCGTGCCTTCTACTGCTGACCCGTCGCTGTTTCTACGCACCGACACCTCACTGCCGCCGTTCTATGTCCTTGTGTACGTCGACGACTTGGTCTTTGCTACTGCTGACACTGTGGCACTCGCCCACGTGAAGTCGGAGCTGCAGAAGAGACACACGTGCACAGACCTGGGTGAACTGACAAGCTATCTTGGCTTACGGATCACCCGGGACAGAGCACGCCGCACCATCACCCTGACTCAGTCACACATGGTGCAGCAGGTCCTTCAGCGCTTCCGCTTCACGTACTCCTTGCCTCAGCCCACTCCTCTGCCTACCGGTCACTCGCTCTCAGCTCTGCCTTCGGATGAGTCCGTAGAGCCGAGTGGCTCGTATCCAGAGCTTGTGGGTTGCCTCATGTACCTGATGACCTGCACTTGACCTGACCTTGCATACCCTCTCAGCATTCTTGCACGCTATGTCGCTCCTGGCCGTCACCGGAAGGAGCACATGGATGCAGCTAAGAGGGTGTTGCGCTGCTTGTGCAGTACGTCGGGCATGGGGCTAGTGCTTGCAGGGCGAGTCCCAGTTGTTCTCACTGGGCACTCAGACGCTTCTTGGGCAGACGACCAGGCTACTCAGTGGGCGTCTCAGGGTTACTCCTTCAGTCTTGGCTCTGGTTCTGTTTCTTGGCGTTCTACTCGCTCTTCTTCTGTTCTCAGCTCCAGTTGTGAGGCTGAGATCTACACCACAGCCATGGCGGCCCAGAAGCTACGCTGGCTCACCTACTTGTTGACCGACCTTGGAGAGCAGCCTCGTTCTCCTCCAGTGCTGTACGTCGACAACAAGGCAGCCATTGCCTTGTGTGAGGAGCACAGACTGGAGCACAGAATGAAGCACATTGCTCTGCGTTACTTCCTTGCTCGAGAGCTGCAGCAGCGTGGTCAGCTTCGCCTGCGTTACGTGGCCTCTGAGGCCAACACTGCTGATGTGTTCACCAAGGCGCTTCAGCCTTGTGACCATCAGCGCTTTTGCACTCTTCTAGGCCTTGTGCCTACTGGACCTCACTTGCTTACTTCTTGAGTCTGTTTGTACTGTGATCTCTATATATATTTCTGCATGTTTACTCTTGTTAGGTTGTGATCATTGTACCTTTTGCTCTATTATAAACCTGCATGTGAACTGGTCTTGTGACCACTTGCTTGTGCTCGGAATTTGTGTGGTATCCTTGAGATCCACCCTGAGCTTGTTTTGCCTTGCTTTGCCTTGATTGG